GCGTAGATGCACAACCCTGATTTAAACGCGCGCAGGACATTTTCAGACTTTCCTCTATACCGACTGTATGTACCCAACGTGTGTTATCCATTGGTAACATTCTTTGACATGGCTACGTAGTTAACGTTTTGTACACATAAAGGCGTTATTTCTGTCGTTTTGAATAGGCGAGTGTATACGTACACTGACGCCATCCGTAACCGTTCGTTTTATCTGCGTTCTGCACTTTCTGAAAACATTTCAAGCACGTAATGAATGCACGCGATCGACAGTTTTCGACGACATCGGATGATACTTTTCTTCTATCCGCTTGCGGTTTGACAGAGACGAGTCGAGTTCGAAACGCGCTTCAAAAGCGCATGGGATATGATAACGAACGAGCATTTTGACTCGAGGGAGGTTCAAGTGCGAATCCCATAACCTCTCCGTTCGTTTCAATGAATTCAGATCAACAGGTAGCGAGTACCGGTTCTCGACCGCCCACTGTGTACGATCAGAAGTATGTGGATTTCGTGGATAATGTACTGAAGGAGGCGGCCGACGATTTTGAGAGAGAGAAAAAATGTATGTAACCCGTTACGCCGTTTAACGGCACCTTACAGCCGGAATTTCTTTTCCCTTCGTTCTAATCGAAACGAGAGCATTGCACGAGCCTCGAACTTGCTACATTTTCTCGAGCAAGGTCACAAAAATGAGAAATATAAAAAGAGTTAGTTTAAGGTTAATCAAAAAATCTAACAAAAAATTTTTTATTTTTCACTTTATCTTGAATTAAAATTACATCCAGTTACAATCATGAAAGCATGTTAAAATAAAAGCTTTAATTTTCTTAATTAAATTTTTCTCTGCCTCTGAAAATTATCAGAAATGTCGAAAATGTTCAAATTAAAGTACAGCAGACGTATAACTATTTTTTTCAAAAAAACCTATTAAAATAAATTTCATGTACTAAATCAAAATTTGCTAAGTATAATAATAAGTAATTTAAAATGATAAATGCACTCTTTCAGTCTCCGATCAAATTCTACTGAAATTGTACAAGCTATTTGACGGAGCATTTGAAAGAGCCTTAGATCTGTACGAGCAGCGACGAGTGACACAAATTTCCACGTCTAATGCAATTATAACGGAGTGCAAAAGTGTTAACGAGGCCAGCTGGTTAATGCAAGTTAGAGGGCATTCTGGAGCGTTGTACACACTTTTTCCAGAAGTAAATTATTGCACTTGCGCTGCCTTCAGGTACACAACACATTCTGTGTGAATGAATTACTTATTCAAAGGATAACGTAATTACATTTTGTAAAATTTCACATATCAAAATGAGAGAAGTTATCTCTCTTATATGTATTAGAAATTATGAAAAATTCTTAAACAGCTCTCATAACGTTACAGACAACAGGTCCTAACCAATCGGTCCGCTTTCACTTGCAAGCACATTTTAGCAGCTTGGTTAGCCAGTGTCGACAATGAGAAGCTGTTGCACCAACAACTAACGCAAAAACAATTTGACAATTTATTGCATCTACTGTACGAGGTTCCAATCGAGCAAGATGCCCTCTAACGCGGAAGGCTACGCGTTGGTCGCAAAAATGGGACTGACAAATCTAAAGATTGTTATACAATTATTGAAAACTATTAACTTTAAGGAGGTACTTAAAATGAGTTTGTATATTAAAAACTATTTTCGTTTTTTTTTTCTTTAATAATAAGAAACGTATGGTATCGCATTATTTAGACAGCTACTTGCCTCGGCACTGAAAACGGATTGAGAATCACGGTCGAGGACGCGAAATGTATGCAGGCCACTGCGTACATCCCGACTACAGTTTTCGACGAGTTCGAATTGAAGGAGGACGTGACGTTTTCATTAAGTTTGAATATACTGGTGGAGTGCCTTTGTATGTTCTGGCCTACCTCGCAAGAAGACGCCGTTGCGGTGCAAATGTTTTACAAAGTAAATGCTTCAGCTCAGTAAAATCAGGATAATTCTCATTTACTTGAAATGAACTTAGTAGTAGTATTTTTGTAGTATCAAAAAAAAATTATATAAAATTCTAGATCTTACTCTTCCAAGTAACATTAAAAAAAAGAATATCTTTCAGTGTCACTGTTTAATGTTCAAGCAATGAGTATCGATATTCATTATAGGGCACAGGCTATCCCGTAAGTGTTATCATCGAAGAAGACGGAGTCATAACAGACTGCTCGTTGAAAACCTTAGAAGTAGACGCATTGTTGGACTTTCATCTCGATAACGTTGTAAATAAAGTAGTATTAAAAACGGAATTACTGAAGGATGTCATGGCAGAGTTAGATCCAACTAGCGAACTGGTCGAGGTATAATTGTCAAGCAATTTCAATTTCAACTCGAGTTTGAAGATACCGAAAGAAATTTACGCTCAAATGAGTTAAACGTTTTGACATACGCTTTTACGCATTTCAGTTGCGTTTATCGCCGGAGGAGCCCTTCTTCAGATTCAGCACGGAGGGCCTAGGCGGCATTTGCCACATCGATCTGCCGCACGACAGCGATTTAATCGAAACTTTTCAATGTACGTCAACGGCAGTATCCAATTTCAAATTGGTGCATATTAAACCGGCGATGAAAGCGTTATCGTGCGCCAACAAGGTTTCCCTGAGAACCAATAACGTCGGCCTATTGTGTTTTCAGTACATGGTTCAAACCGAAAATGGACACACCTGTTTCATAGAATATTACGTAAGGCTTTCCATAATAAATTGTATGAACAATTAGATTGTTAATTTCGTACTAATTAGTTTTCACAACATTTATAATCAGTTACATTTTACGACATTCTGATAGAATATCTGGTACACGATAAAAATTTTGTAATTCTATTTACAGATTTCTCCATTAATTGATATGGACGTTTAGTGATAAACGGTCAAACAATGACGATACGGACGTATCAAGTCAGAAGTTAATATATGCTCAGATGTACAAAGGTTATTTTAAGAAGCAAATATATTTTGTACGTATTTTCACCTACGCTTTCTTACTCTCGTTTCTTTTAAGTATCTTAGATTTGCTTTTTAATAAGCATTATTTTAATAAATAGAAATCTTGTGTTTAAAAGACGTTAGGATAAGTCGGGAAATTTTTTAATTAGAAACACTTGTGTATACTTTCATTAATCATTATTATTCGTAGAAAAAAAAAGCAAACATTATTCGTAGAATAGGTAATACAGCGACTGCTGTACATGGAACATAATTTGCTGACGGCATTACGTTATTTCATTACGTAATACGCGATACATAAATAGAAAATGTGCACAACAGATGGACTTTTAATTTATGCTTCGGTTATCATTCGGTACATCCACTTTACGAACGCATGCATATCAAATATATGTGTTTTAACTCCGTAGAAAACTATGTGCCCTTACAGAAATCTAATTTAATACTGCAAATCACCTATTTTGAACATTAAAAGCACTGCTGAAGGTTTCAGCTGTGCTTTTGATACTCAAAAATAAGCAATTGACCGCTACCTTCCTGGATTAAATTTCTGTAAGGGGTTCTATAATCTTTCTAAGTTACAATCTGGACATAAGAGTTACATTCAGCTGTATGCATACAATTCGATACTTTATGTATCGTCGTAATAATCACTGTATCTTATTCACGCTCAAGCGTATAGATTTCAATTTCGTTAATGTACACGTTCTCGGAATATTTCTAGAAGCACCTGTGTGTTGTGCACGCGCCTTCAGCTTTGGTACCTGGACTCTCCTATTCCTGAACCTTGTATACCCTTGTGCAAACTATGTCATCGACCTTCATGATCTGCAACAGAAATAGCGATAACGTCGGTTAAATATTTGATGGCATGACATGGACCTCCGCCGTACGTAACTCCGCTGCACACGGTAATCTCTCGGAATTATTAATAGCGGTAGTTTCTGTAAGTAGTAAAGAGAGCGAGAAAGAGTGCGGGAATTATCCCCGCGCCGGTGTCTCACGGTATTAAACACGGTATTCGCGCCAGACGGATCAATGGATCTTTATTGGCACCGTTTCGGAGTGCTCGGTGTGCGCTGTAGAAATTGTCGTCACGAAATACGTGTCACGAACAGGAGGAGCGCACGCGATAATTGGCCGGACATTTGACGAATCATTATAACATTAGCCGCTCATGCAACGATCCCTCTGATCGCCGGCGTTCCTCCACGTATGAGCTTTTGTACTTTAATCGGCAACTCCTGCGACCGCCATCAACGGCGACACGAATCAAAGTTCAAGTCGCTCGGAGAGGAAGGATGCACGCACGGGGCGACAGATGCATTCTTCAAGCACGATTAACCACGTCATTCCTACAATTCATGTTCTGTGACAATATCTCGTCCGAGTACGCTGGCTGGGTGGGGCATTTAAAGCGATACACATCACGTGAAATTAATACTGAAAATTGCTCGATTTAAAGGATAAATATAAAACCATAAGAGAAGACGATTCTCTTCTCAGAGTACCAATTTTCGTTATTGTTGATAAACATTAAAATATCTGCGCGTTTAAAGCGTGCTGTTGTTTAAATGTTAATGATGTTTCCAGTCGTTCTCGATAAATGCAAGTTTGCCAGTCTATAAACTAGATTCTTGTGAATTTATCATACATGACAGGTATACATATGGAAACACGAGATATTATTTCTTGTTTAGTATTTATCCGATTGAAGGTCAGCGTTACCTTGCTGCTAACTTTTAATAGCATTAATAATAAATAGCTGCGTAGCTACGATTAGCATTAGCTTGATCGATAAAAAGCTCGTTATTGATTCGCGAATAAAGTATTGATGAAAAACCGAGATTAACTTAAATATCAACATATTAGGAATCAGTTAAGTTTTTCATTATTAAAACAGACTTGACGCGGTAAAACTTATTTCTAACAACATTTATAAATTATATTTGTATTATTATTTTATTTATAATTTATAGTTTGCTCCAACAACGTTTATAAATTATATGTATCGCATAAATATTTTATTTTAATCATCTTTATTGCAAGCGACGCGAATATTCGAACAACAAATTATTAATCGTGTTCCAAGAAACTTTTTAAAAGCTTACCGCTTTCATCTCCGTGGGCCCGAATTCCCTCTCGATCGTAGTGTCCTTCTCGCCCTTTTGCACCTGGACGAGTTTGTTACCATCCAGAGTACAGACGCTCTTTACCTTCCTGCCGTCCACGGTCTCCTCGTCGAACTCCGCGCCGAGTTGGAATTTGATTTCGGAGTTCTTGAAGGGGCTGGTCGTCTTCAACGTGTACGTTCCGTCCTTCTCCGTCAGTTCGACGACTGGGCTGACGCTGCTGCCCATTTTGCGCGTCACCATACCCACGCCTGAAAGAGAAGGCGTAAGCTGCTTTAAAATCGTCTATACGGCCTCCTCTTATCGGCCACTTTGAATTCTATGAAATTCTATTCCGGATGTATTTATATCCAGACGCAGACGGCTCGTCTTCTCGCGCTTTGTTAATTGTTCTCGCGGAAACGATCGCGCCATCGCAATCTAATTGCGAGCTATCAATTAACATCATTCTTTCCATATGCTTGCATGTTATTACTTAAATTCGGTGACAGATTGAGAACGCGAGTATCCCAAACAAAGATGAAGATAAAATCACGTAATTAGCGAGGGAGCGCGATTGCGATAACTTTTAAATCGTGTATATCCATCGAAGTCCACTCGATGTTAACAGGCAAATGAATATTTTATCTGCCGGCACTTCTGAATCTTATCTCTCGACAAGCACTTCGTCATTTCCTACCGGCCCATAAGACTATCGAATCCTCGATATTCTCTCGAAGAAAATTAATTCCTCGTTGAAAGAATTCATATACGAAAGGAAAAAAATAAATACACGGAGTTCGCTGGATTTACTGATCAGGAATACGATTCCTTTCTGAAAGAAAAGGATCAGCGTGCACCTCGTCTCACCTAAGGCTTTCATGTACTCGTCGAACTTTTCGCTCGATTGGAGCTTGTAACGCTTGCCCAGGATACCGGTTAGCACTGGCGACGACATGGTTCGATCTACCACCGACGACTGCGGGAACGGGACTGACTAACGGCCCGGCCGGTTTGCATGCCTCATGCTCGACTTCAGCGATTGATTAGACTTTATATCGTAGGTAGAGGACGGGTTTATCGTGGAGCCGCGGAACCCCGCGGTTCCGCGTTGAAAACCGACCGGCGAGAGAAGCAAACTTTGAAGTTTGACCCACTCGTTCGCGTTATTTATAGATTTCGCGAATTATCATCGCGGAGTGACATCACGTTAGCGTATGAATACTTATTACGGCACATGGTAACCTTCGACTGCGAAAGGCATTCTCTCAGTGAAGATCCTCAAAGTAGAAAAATCTTCTTGCGGCAAAAACACTTTTTTTTTTAAATAATTAAAATAGAACAGAACTCTCGTTTTAGACGCGACTCAGCTGAGACTTTCGAAAGGAATCGTTTGCATCATTCGCTAATGGAAATACAAGTTTATTCCGCGAAATGTCAGACTATTCATCATCCCGATGGGGCGATTGCATTACAATTCTCATTTGATTAACAAATTCGCAGTCAATTGGTCATGATTTTTTTTATTGTAAAGCTGCTTTTCTGAGGATGATTATTTGTTATCGCCATTGAGGAAATAACAAACTGACTCGATTAACAATCTCATGATTCGCGATCGCATCGCTTGACGACGAACGTGTTTCAAAAACTTTTACGTGACCTCGAAAGGAAAAAAAAACCGAAGATAGTCTTATCTCGCCGCCAGGAGATAACAAAATTACAGGTTTACGTTTGAGTCACGCAAGCGAGTCCGCTTATCGATCTCACCGCCTTGGCCGGTCGGTCGTCGGTTCGCGGAAAAGTAGAATGCCTGCACCGACTTTCCGCGACGCATTAAAAAACTGCGGCGGTATAACACGTCGGAAGACGACGCGCGCGTCTAGACTCGCTCTCTTATTTAATTTCCGGCGAACCGCCGAAGATTACCGTAACAATGGTCGAGAGGGTGGGAAACGGTTGATCCCGTTCGTCAACGATTCTGCTTATACTGATGTCTCGTGCCGACACAATTTGCAACTTGTCACGTATTTTGTTACGAGTCGCATATTTAAATTTTTGAGAGACAATCGGATTTCCACCAAGAATAAAAATCACATAAAAAATTTGCTACACAATAATAATTACAAAGTAACATAATAATAACTATAAAAAGTCATGTAATAATAAATGAGATACTGCATAATAATAATTATAAATTATTATTATGCATAATAAAGTCCGCAGAAACGGCTGATCTGCAGTTATTTGATCTTAACGAACCCACGGATCCAAGCTCAAAACAGCGGATATACATCATGTACATATCATATACTCATACATATATTTTTGCGAGAGATAGCAACAACTGTTTCAGGCAAAGGGAAGAGGTACAATCTAATTTAATCTAATTTAAGAAAAAAGCTAACCCATAAATGTTTGCTACATAAATGAAAACAGCAAAATTATATAAATTACAGTTTCTTATTTATATTCTTTAATTAAAAAATAATTAATAGATTAACGTCTGCGGATAACGATAGAATAAAAGAGGAACATGCAGTGATGCAGACTACATGCGACTACTACGTTATCTGGTTCTTCAGAGTTTATCTGAAGTCAATAAACATGAGATAAGTAGATAAAATTATCAGTCTTGGTGTGTTATCAAAATACCTTGCGTTCGAAGGTGTTTCTGCTTCCAGAAATCCAACGCGATTTCTGTCACTCGTGAAAAAGGTATAATATATATAATTGATCAAGCTAAATTTTGTATCGGTATGAATGCGCTCCCGTGATTCAACTGTCAATTACGGGATTTATTAATCACGTTGATGAATTAATTCAAGTGTTAAATTAGACCGCAATCAGGCGGCCCGGTGCGGCGCACGGCCGGAATTAAGATCGAGGTCAGGTCGTTGCACGGAGAGGCGAGGGGGCGTAATTTAACGTATTAAAATTGATTAACGTCCCAGGGACTTCATTGATATCTCGATGATGCACAAACGAGTTTAGCGGCTAATTAACCGATTGAACCCGCGACGGTGGTATGCGGTAGGCGAAAGTTACCTATACGTCGAATTTACGTTTGCGATTGTGATTTAAAAAAAAAAACGAAGAAATGAATTATACATCGCTGAATCAGAGGATTAACTCGATCGATTATCGGTGTCAAAATCGCTATTATTCTCTCATCGATATTATTTCTATTCGTGAAGCGCGATTTCTCTGAACTTCCGTGGATGAGATACAGTATATCCCCTCCCTCCTCAACCCCGAAAGCTCCACGAATGTTTATCCCGTGTCTTTTCACGCGTGCCTCCACATATTAGTCACGTGTGCGTGTTTATATTCACATTCCGTATACAGACGCGAAATTGCCGATGTTATTGTCGGGCCCGGCCACGCGAGCGTGTACACGCGGAAACGGAGCTAACGACAGATCTCATCACGATAATAATACGGCCCGCCGTAATGTGTGTAATAATCATTAGCTATTTTGTAAGTAAGAGCAATTTACGTCGGATGGCGCCGATACGCCGCACGTTGCTCCTGCGTTGCATTTATGGGCTTGTCATTGTTTTTCTACGTAGCGCTACTACAACGATTGTCTTGTCAGGTATCTTTCCTATAATTTGCCAGAGCCTATTCAGACAAAGTTGCAAAGCTGCATGATGCATAAAGTAAAAAATTAGTATTTATAGCTCTGTCTTTAAGGTCCGTTTCATTATCTAAAAAAAAAACGCTATAGTTTTTTTTATTTGTGTCGCTTTTCTATCAACGCAACGAAATATACAGAGAAATTGATCAAAATTAAGTGTCTAATATAATGATTCCATATTGTTGACGCCATACACAAAAAACCCGTAAAGCTGATCGCATGAACATGGTGAAGAATTTTTTATGGGAATGCAGCTCTTAACGAACGCTGAAAATATTCAGCGACGTGATTAGATAAAAAATCCGAGCGGATCAAATCGGTTTCCAGTTGCAAAACAGAAAATCGTCTGACTATGAATCGCAAGAATATTAGTTCGAGAAGGTACTTAACTACTTTTCACACAAATTATGTTCTTCGTACTAGATGTGCGATTAATTTTTCTGTACATATGCATTCGCGGCTACATTTGTTTGAGGTGCTTAGATTATGGGGAAGATACCTGAGAAAAATCATAGGAACACTTGATAAACGATCGAGATTCACTGAAAATTCGTGTTCCCAGTATGCTAATCGAGATTATCCAAAGCGATTTTTCGACGAGCTACATATAACTCGTGTCAGAATTTATTTGACACTATAATAGAATTCTTATAATTTTCAAGTGCCACATAAATATTTAAGAAATTAAAATACACACAAATATATATAAATAATAAATAAATTATAAATAATGCATACATAAAAGATATATATGCAAATTATACATCAAGATAAATTAATGAAAATGCATGAAAATATATGGCATATGCTACACCAATCTGACATGATCGTTATCTAAAACGGGCTTTATCCTGTTGCTTGTTACAAACTGTTTCCTTTTAAATTTCTGCTTTGAATAGAATCGCGTAATTTTTATCGCGTTTAACGTAATGAGGCACTCGCGGTTAGTACTAATTGTACAAGCACGGAATGACGTAATCCAAGGTCTTCAGGAAACTGACGTGAGAAATGATAAAGGAAGGAACCTGTTAAATATTGCGCAACGTGTTCGATATCCGGCTGACGATATACAAAAAAAAATCCGTAAAACTGATCGCATGGTGAAGAATTTTTGGCGGGAATGCAGCTCTTAATGACGGCTGAAAATATTCAGCGACACGTGGTCAGGAAAAAAATCCGACCGGATCGAATCGGTTTCCGATTGAAATGCAGAAAATCGTCTGACTACGAATTGCAAGAATATCAGAGAGTATTAGAGAGGATAACTACTTCTCACACAACTTTCCCACACCGTCCAGCTTTTTACGCCAATCACGTGCGCATTCTAAATTAACATTTCCGACGCACTTTGAACGGCCGAAGCGACGTGCCAAGGGCGGCCGGCGTTTTCGACTATTACTACGTACCGAGCGCCTTCATGAACTCGTCGAAATTCTCGCTGCTGAAGAGCTTGTAACGTTTCCCGAGGAACTCGCTCGACATGATGACTCGACCGGGACACGAGACCGAAAAAGGAAGACAAAGAGATCGGCGGCGACCGGGACGTTATACTGGCCAAGAGACTGGATACCTCCTAGTCGATCGGCGCGGTTACGAGAACTAAACCAGGAACGTCAGGACGAGGAGAGTCGAGCGCGAAAACTCCATCTCTCCCCCATGCTGTTCATCGCACTCTCTCTTTCTCTTTCTATCTTCATCTCTTCTTCCTCGTCCCACCCGAAAGACTCCGTCACTCGCTTGTTCCGCTATCGATATGCTGGGGGTCGCGCTCCCTCTTACTGCACTTCCTCCTTTCCCCTGTGCTTCGCGCCGCCCTTTTCCCCTCTCGTTAACTAGCCCCGTCTCCCTCAACACCACGGTCCATGCTCCTTCCATCCTCCTCGGTCCTTCCGCCCTTCCACAGCAGTCAGAAACTTCCCCGTCTGTCTCGCTCCCACCCGGGGTTTCCCCCTCCTCGTGATCTATTCGCAGCTGCGAGCCGCCTGCGACCTTTTGCGAGTCCATATCCTGCGTCCTGCTTGCGCAATTTTCGTCCTCTTTTGGCGTGTCTCGCGTGGTAGTCTTGCGACACACGCTGATTCTTTTCATTTATCCTCTTGTACGCGCGTGACGCGTTGGAGGGAAAAATTAGCGAGGAACACGGATGCTTATCAAGTCAATTGGATCATTTATTTTTAGAATAGAGATAAATTACATCATATATATATATATATATATAAAGTAACTGCAATGCGTTACATATATTGATTGCGCATGTGAATTGATTTCACAATCACAATTTATTATCTCAGCGCACAATTTTAACGGCGCTAACTACGGAAGTAACTACAATTTTCAGACGATAATTTTATGCTCAAAGTTGCACATAAAAAATACCATTTCAAATAATTAATATTTCGCATATTTATTAATATTAATATTGAATTCTGACTCTATTATAATTTTGCGCAAAAAAAAGACAATCCATCCACGAATATATACAAATTGTTTAAACGAAGATGATCGAATATCTGCTCGCTTGCATAAATTTCTTTCCTTGATTTATGAAAATCACCGTACACGTGTAAACACTGCATCGCGTGTTTTTTGTAAACATATAGGAGGAATTTTCCTAAGGAACGGTGTACGTGTTTATAAAATAAATGTCGATGCGTGAGTCACCTATAACCGCACGGTCGTTAAGCTCGTATTAGACTGAATTAAGATACATTAAAGGTTGAGGATTTTTGAGAATTAAAGATTGGAATGCACAATCAATTGGAACGTAACGGATTAGTTATAATTATTTCATTGAATCATATTTCATCAAATTTTTTAATTTTAAATTCGCAATTCGTCGAGCTCCAATCCTGTGTAGTCTAACACGGGCTTTTTGATTATCTTTACGATTAATAACTTGCATCGCGCGCGCGATAAAAGATTTTACGAGATTTATCATGGGAATCGTTGAATAGGTATAATATTAATAAACTTTTACATATTTGGGTCGACTGAGTGCGATTAGCGCGTGCGAGGCTCTAATCGCTCTCGGATACATGGGCTAATTCGAAGTTCAAAGAACGGCGCAAAGTCGAAGGTGCACCTCCTCGAACTTGACATGCGTGATGCCAGGCGTACATCGGACGATACGGATGCCCGCGCTCCATTGGTCGGTGGATCATTGCGCGCGACTTAACGGCGAATCGTTCCTACGTTCGAATAAGCGGCTAATGGGCACTTACGATCCCTTATAATCCTCTCGTAATTGCGCTCCGAGTCCTACCTACGCATGTGGGTGTGTCGTATTGTATTATTTATATTTCGATTCGTATAACGCATTCGTGCACGCGCGGAAGTCCCATTTGTCGTGACGTTCACACGTGAAACGTGCTTGACACGTCTAAGCTTTTCGCGATGAGCCTCCGTTGCGTCATCGGGAGATGCGCCGTGAAACAATTTGCTATCGTTAATTTATTCCTAGTCGCCCCTTCAATTTTTATTTCAACTTTGCATTCTATACTTTGTTAACTTCGCGATATTACGTCACCGTTGAAAATATTGCCTCGATTAATCATGGTCCCAAGTGACTCTTGAACGAAAGACGGTGCTCGAACGCGACTTTCGATAAACAAACAATCCGGCGGTCCAATCCGTTGAATTTCTCAACGACGCGATCTCTCTCATAGCGAACGCGCGAAAGAGGCATATGTCCGGCGCCGTGACGCCGCGCGCTGCTCGCGATGGCCCCGACGTCTGATCGCCGGGCGGCGTCGATTTCGTCGGCCGCGATCCCGCAACGCCCGCGCGCCACGGTCGATAACGGTGCGGTGGAAACGCGTCGACGTTGCCGTAATCGCGCGCACACGCTCGTCGGCGATGATGTCGCGTAGCAACACGTGAATTCCGACACCGACGACGCGACGACCCCGGAGGCTTGGCAACGTCGCGGCGGCGGCGGCGGCGGCGCGAATTCCGCATTCGCCGCGTCGTCGAGGGGTGTATCTCCCGGTGCGCGAACCGGCTGCACGGTACGCGCGCGTTCGCCAACGTTATATGTAATGTACATCGATGTTATACGCGGCGACGTTTAATTCTCGTATCCTGGCAGGAACATCCTCGCGCCGAGTGGGACGCACGAAGGACGCTGATCATCTCTCCGCGTCCTCGCGTCCTCGTGTTATTTGCGGGAGAAACGGCGAGGACCACGATCGCGTGCATGATCTTCACGCTCGCTCTCCCTCCGCGCTGCTGCTTGTCGCACACCGAAATATATCTTCCGCTTTCGTCGCCTTTTATTTTTGTAACTCCCTGCCGGGATGAAGTTGTCCGTTCCCCCTCCCCCCTTCCCCCCTCTCTCTTATTTCAATACACTCGCTCCGTCATTACTTCCTTCACTCATCGGGCAACTTCACCCACGTCGGGATATATCCCTATACCTTGAGCCCTTTTTTTTTCTCGTATCGTACATACACGCGCGTATATGTCTCAGGTTTCGCCTCCCCGACCGAGCTATATATTTACTCAACTTGTAAGACCTAGACCGTTTTGCTAAACTTTGTTGGCCTCTGATTACTATTCGCGAAGCACTTACGCTAATATTACTTGTACCCAGTTGGAATCTTTTTTTTTTTTTTGCACTTGTTTCGCACTTTTGCGGCAAATTGCGACGTGGCGTGCAATTGTCTAACTGGCCATTATTCTGAAACTGAAACTCGCGTCTCGTGTTCTTGCATACGAGTTAAGCTGTACGCCCGTAAAACGCCTTAATAGAAACTTCCCGCCGCGAGTGATTCTTTTATTAGGCCGCCGCGGGAAGTGGAAGTCCGGGAGTCTTTCGAAAGCGCCGTTAATGTCTCCATGTCGACCTGCAGTAACCTCGAGAAAATTACGACTCGATGTTTTCGATTTCATTCGATTTTATTTGGCGAATACGAACCCAGGTCAGGCGCGCGGGTCGTGCTCGCGCGGGAATGTAAAAACCGTGAAAAGAAGAAAAAAAAAGGCTGCCTGTTTGCGGCGCTGCCGCGACGTGAATTTCTATACGCGCGTGAATATTTCCACGGTGTCGCGTTGAGCGTGTGCGTGCGTGAGTGCGTGCGTGAGTGCATGCGCGTGAGTGCATGCGCGTGTGCGCGGGCGGCGACGCGATTCCGCCGTTCTTTCGTGGCCCGCTCTCGACCCGCGACGGCCCTCGACAGCGGCGGCGGCGGTGGCGGCGGCGGCAGCGGCGGCGGTGGCGGTGGCGGCGGCGGCGGCGGCGGCGACCACACCGACTGGTGCCTGGTCTGGCAACGTCGCGGGCGGCATAGATTCCGCTCCGCAACCGCAACCGCACGTTCGCCGCCGGGCCGCCATGATACCAAAAGCCGTGCTCCGGCCGTGCAACGGTTTCTCCGCAGTGACGCGCAAGCCGCTGCCGACGACGCGACACGGACAACGGAGCCGGACGGGCGCGCGCGACTGCGGCGGTTTCGTTTGCCAATTTCGATTCGCTTTAACGCGTATTAAACCGATTAAACCGGGTTGACCACCGCGTGGTCTTTGGTGGAAGGAACAGAGCGGCGTTTCACCGTCGATCTTCGATTGCTCCTTTTTTCGAAGTTCGAGTTTTACATCGCGTGAAACTCGAGGGATTATTTTTTTCGCCGTCGCGCTAATCGAAGGACGCGCTGATCGTTGAGACTCTCTCGTGCTCGGAGGGACTCCTTCGATTTATTAAAAGTTCGATTTCGAGGAAAAGTATACTGATCGAAAAGTAACGCCGCGTGCTGCGTTCGATCGAGGCGAAGCGAAAGGACGAGCCGAGTACTTATATAGTCGCGACCGAAAGAAAGAAAATCTCACGGAGACTCTATGAGCATGTTCGACACGGAGAGGTTCATCGAGGAGATAGAGAGGCGGCCGGCGATCTACGATGTGAATCGCGGCGAGTACAACGACCGTAACGCCAAGATGACCGCGTGGGACGAGGTCTGCCAGGTGATGGTACCGAATTGGGCGCGCTTGACGGACGAGGAGAGAAACGTGGAAGGTATATACTGTATATAGCATGGCCGTTCGCAATTGATCGATCCGGATTCCTAACGGCCGCCGCGTTTGTCGCCGGCCGACCGTCGCGGAAATCCGGAGGCTTGGGACTTGGCCGCGAATCGATATTTTTCGCGCGATCGGATCGCGATTGTGTCGCGCGTCGAAAGATCTGGAAGAAAGATTAGACAAGGATATTCTGAAAGTTGAACAGAGACGTCTCTCCACGTGGTCTCGGGTGTCGATTAAGAAAATGGAGAGAATCGCGAAGAGAAATGCGCTGCGGTTTTGCTACGTTAATTAGATTGACGTTGTATGGCGTGCTTTAATAAGATTCTATTTTAGAAGATAAAATTTATTTATGAAAATAAATTTTCTGATACACCACACATGATTTTTTAATTTAAAATCATATTTTGTGCAAAAATTAACGTATATAATCCAAATTAATATTCATTTTTTGTGGTGTTACAAAAAGAAAATCAGCAAGAGAAATTTTTTGGCACTGATGACTTTTACATAAGTATATTTGAAAAATAATTATATAAATAAAATAGAATAATTTATTTACTTTAGATTACAGGAAAAGAGAAAAAGTTTTATTATTCTGTTATATTATTTATTGAAAGAAATTTTGTTGTAAGTCGTGATAATTTTTAGAGAAAAATTTGCGCGGGAAATGGAGGAACATACGGGATTACTTCATGAAAGAGCTGAAACTTCAGAAATCGCACAAGTCTGGACCCGCCGGGCGTAAACGCAAGAAGTACATGTATTTCGATCGATTGTTGTTCCTCATGCCGACCGTTGAGAACAAGAGGTATTTAGCTGCCGTCCGCGAATAAAGCGACAAACGATCGATGATCGCTCGACTAAAAGAATCTTGTTTCAGGAATTCCGTGACCATCAACCCTTGCAAATCGGAGGAGAGCGACGGCGAGGTGGACAACCCCGTGATCGAGGAGTACGATCCCCTCACTTCCGGCAACGCCTCGATAACGGGTGGCCGGGAATATTTTCAGGCGGGTACCCCCTCGTACAAGGTGTGCCCGCGTTACTCGAAACAGCTCTGCGAGACGTCCTTCACGCCCTTCGACAACGAGATACACGACATCCTCTCCTCGCACAGCAGTCAGCGCGTCACCATCGACGAGGACGACTACGACAAGATGTTCCTCCTCTCGCTGCTGCCGATCATCAGGCAAGTGCCGGAGGAGAAGAAGCTGGACGTTAGGATACAGATGCAGCAAGTTCTGGCCATGGCGCTCCGCCCGTCCGATAACAAATAAACTGTTCGGCGTGATTTTTTTTTTTAATGAGAGAAGAGAATCAAAAATGCATCGAATAGGAAAAGATCTTGCAGCGATTTATTATGTTATATATATCTCGATCTGTCCTGTTTCAATATTTTCGTGGATAGATTATGCCTACAGATTTCTTTTTACTAGGATAATGGAAATTTGGAATGGACATTGCTAAGATTTAATTCTGATTAATGGATATATACATATATATATCCAAGATAATAAAAACTATTTCGTTTATTACGTCTTATGTTAATGTTTATAAGATTTAGGCTTGGCAGAGTACTTGATTATGTGATATTTAAAAAATCACGTAAGCATCAATATAATTACAGCTCTATAGAGCGTACTCATAAATAAGGTAATTATGATCTAACGAGAACACGTGGATTGTGTCGAAACAACTTATCAATTAGCATAAATCACAATTATGAAATATTAATTCCAGGATACATAATAGATAAATTTTATACTATGTACTTTAAAGTAAGCATGAATAGTAATATTGCGTCTGTGATATTATTAAGCTCTATTCGACAATCGAAGAGATATACGAGGACGTCATATGCGTAATATATGGCGCAGTCTTGTCATGCTAGGATGATTCTATCGAAATATATATATTGCACAACTTATTTTTTTTAGGTTCTTATTTTCTAACCTTGAATTTGTGCCGACTCACGAGCATCATCGTGATATCGTAAATTTACTTACCATGCAATATATTAGTCTATCAATTGCCTCGAAGTCTACATTATCCGTTGATCAAATATGATAACTTATCAACTGCGTTGTATAATTATGAAAGATTGAATATCAACAGAGCAACAAACTTTTACATTACCGACATTGGGTAATATTACAATCTTTTATTTTTATTAATGATCACGATAAATGATTTTAATTTATAAATATTTTATTAATTATAATAATTGGAATGAATGAAAAGTATTCGTAGACAATCGGAAATTTGATGCGCTCCATCGGTATAGCAAGAGTTTATATATCGACATACAAGAGAGAGAGAGAGAGAGAGAGAGAGAGAGAGAGAGAGAGAGAAGTTTATGACATTATATTTTTTATAGGCTATAATACGGGGTAATTTGAATAGTGTGGTAATTTGGATAATAGTAAGCATTTGCAAGAATTTCAGAAAAATAAGAGATTTTAAGTTACATGTCAATATCTGATATAATGAAATGTATTTTAAAATTTCTTATTTTTCTGAAATTCCTGCAAATGCTTACTATTGTCCAAATTACCCCACTGTAGCCTATATTTTTACTTTATAGAATTTATATCGATCTTTCTCTCTTTAACAAGTTGCACGTGAAAATTGCGATTGCATTCAACGTGTTCCTTTGTTAAATTGGTCGTAGAAAGCGGCGGTCGGTTGATTCTTATAAACGATATGGTTCAGGTATTCCTGATGTTGCTTCTGCTGCTCGGCAAGCCGCAAATTCTCCTCCGCAATTTTCTTGTTGAGCTCCCTGGAAAAATAAAATGTAGCACTTAAAACTTTGTTTACACGTTCAAACACTATCATAGAGTATATAAGAATATCAAAAAGTTTTCAAGCAAGAAATTTTTTTTTTTCGAATTATATTATTAAATATAATATCGTTATATAAAATATATTTATATAGGCCTCTTTAAACCTTAGTTAGAGAAAAAAAAACGAAATTAGTTTTAGGATCTTACGATTTTCTTTGATTTAATTCCTGCTCGTATGAATATATGGTTCGAAGATGCGAGTCCATTAAGTGATCCCAATTCTCGTTCATGTGTTTCTCTTCTAGTTTGATTTTCTGAATAGACAAGTTAGATAAAAGTTTCCTTGCATCTCTAAAATTAATAGTTTTGTGTAGATTCATAAGTGTGAATATTTGGAATACGCTGTATCAAATGGAAAATTTTGGTTAAAAATATATTAATAATGCATGTCATGTCATCATGAATCCACCGTGATGTCATCCATGACGCGTCCAGGTTTTTTTCACCGTCATTAGCGTGTACGAGATACTTATATGTATGTCTATTAAGCATTAAGGAACAAAGAGCACGTTAAGGAGAGATTAGTTAAATAAAATAGATGATCATGAATAAAATTTCCATATCAAAATTTTAAATTTATGATATTTGAATGTAAAAATAAGACAAAAATACCGCGGAATCGATACGTGAAATATCTAGTTACAAATTAAATTGAACGATTAAAGAGAGATAGAGCGACAGAATTGATGTTGATACAATAAAGCGTAACTCTTCCCTCTCATACTAACACGAATCTCCTCCATTTGTTTCAGCTGAGCATCCCTGAAGACCTTCAACTCGTCCGCAGTCATGCCCTTGTATCGGTCCGGCAGCGGCCTGCTCGGTCCATGGGTGCTCTCGGCCTGTTCCCGAGCCTCGGTGAGGAAATCTCCAGTCACGTGATTATAGATTTCCGCTTTCTTGTCCTCCTCGTCTTGGACGGCTTCGCAGTGACGGCGATGTTGCTGCTCCTCGGCCTGCAATCGAGCGGAAATAAATTCCGCGAAACCATCGCGGGACATTTGAGGGATAAGGGCCAGGGACGCGGTCGCGGACCAGGTGAGGGGAAGAGATTAATGCGGTGAGTACGACGGGGGAGGGGGAGGAGGAGGTAAAGGGAGAGAGAAAAAAGAAATCGACGGCACTTTGTTGTGGTTATCGGGGCAAATTATCACGGCACTTTGCACGATGATGTCATGAGGTTTATTCATCGACCGCGAGAGAATCGCGTAGGCGACTTTTATATCCTGCGGCGAGTTAAAATGCATGCGGACTGCGCAAAAAAAAGTCGCGTTGTGTCTTTTGTTACATTGTACCGCGGCCGGTTTATTATTACAAGCGCTTTTCGATCACATTCGTTCCACCGAGAAAGTTAATACGGCAGAAACGCTTACAACCTCTGAAAAAGGAGAAACGTCCTGGTATAATGGCAGTAATTAAAATTCGATCTTTCAATCATCATTATATTTATAGTCGCAATTTTAACTGTTAAATGCGCAATTTTGATAAAAAAACAAATTAGACTAACATTTATTTGTGTCATTTAGTGAAAAATCTTCTTAATTCAGAAATGTAGTCACCTAGTTTTGTTTTGCACAAACGATTTGGAGTGTTTTTCACACTCTAATTAAAAACTGTTATTATTAATTACATATTGCATATTATTGATTGTCTTGACATTTTATATTTGAGATTATTATATAGAATTATCTGATATTTTCTAAATAAGTAAAAAGAAATAAAGAAAATAGGTACTCGGAGTAAATAAAGCTACTGTGGTTGAGCTTTATTTTCTCGCTGCTGAGGTGTAAAAGTCATGTCCATCAGGTGCAGGCTATTCCCGGGTTAAACAAATTTAGATATTTCTGTCTGAAGGGTAGCTTTCATATGTATATCAGGCCGGAATTTTCCTAGAAGAGGGCCGACACGAAAAAGGGGAGAACGGACCCTATTACATACATTAGAAAGATTGAAATCGGAGACAAACAGATGGGTAGCGCGGGTGTCCTAATGTGTCAACACCATCATGTCAAATGTAACAACGCTCGAATCGATCTGTATATATTCGTTTGATATAAGTGGGCGCGTATTCAAATATATAGACGTGTTCTTATCCTCCGATCGGACATGATCAAGCGCGTTAGTCGAATGAAAAAAAGCTTCCCTCTTTCCGCGAAACGAGCTCGATAAAAAAAAAACGTTACCCCACTCGAACATCCATCTTACTCATCGCGGACTCGGTCTCCATTCTACCTCCGCTCAGAGATCGAATCGGTCAAAGGAATTCGAAATTTTTTTGCCGGTAGAAGACTCGAAAGCAAAAACGGCGGAGTCACTAGACAACCTTACAGAACGTGAAATGGCAGCAGCTGCGGCTGCTGCCGCGAGCCGATTGGGATTGTAATCGGAATCATCTTGAAGATCATACGATCGATTTTATATAATTTGTTAAATAAATCTCTCTCTCTCTCTCCCTCCCTCATTAATTTCTCCTCTCTTACGGATTTCGATGTCTCCTTCTCGTCGGATCTGGATCAAAGGCGCGAATAGATGGGATTCCTCGTACCAGAGCGCGATTAAATGTCGCCGTGGCTTCGTTCAGCCTTCGCCGGCATTCCTCCTCCATCCGCGCGAGCGTCGTCGCACGGCTGTCCCTGGAGAGGACGACTTCCTGATAGGCATGCTCGGCGTCCCGTCGCGCCTTCTCGGCCGCCTCGTGCTCCTCCTTTTGCCTCTGTATCCACCAACGCATCTGCTCTCTCTGCGCCTTCAAACGCTCGGGCATATTGCGATCCTCGCCGTCGAACCTGCGCATTGCAGCCGTATATAATATTTCATACTCGTTCTCTCCTCTCCTTCCTCTTGGAGTTCACGCGCATTACCATTACGCCAGGGTGAGCAGGTTGCGAGGGTATAAGATTATTATATATCCGCGCGAGGATCTTTCGCCACGGATTATAGAAGAGAGGGAGAGATATCGTTGTATCGTACGCGCGATAGCCACGATTTACAGATTGCAAAACAAGTTCCCTCCCACGACTGCGCTAACGGTATTCTAACGTTACGAGAAACTTAATAGAGACGAGAAGTCATCGGGGTGCGCAGGAAGCAGAGTAAACGAGTTTCACAAGCGCGCGCGTCCCTCTATCTCCCTCTGGAAAGTCCGAGATAAACCTCTCCCGGGACTTTTCTCCCGATTGCACCACACATTGTTGGCGGTATTAATCAGGCTGTTTACGCACTTCTGAGCGGACGCTGCTCCCAACCGCGGATCGTCACCGTTGTCGTCCACGCGCGCCGGCAGCGATTTCTTTAACGCCTCGGGGTCGTACAGGTCGTAATCCCGCCGGTCCTCCGCCCGCTGATGCACCCGTCGGAAGGACTCGACCTCCCGATTTATCCTTCGCCTCTCCTGCGAACAAGGAAAACGAGTCGTCGCATCTCGCACTCGACGCTCTCGATCTCGATCGGGTTTCTCGTTCGCGGCACGTGACAACACCGAAATCCATAGCGATCGAGTGTGCCAGCGGCATGTGTGCATATCGAGCGGACATTCCCGGCGTAATTATCGGCATTGACGGCACACTCAATTACCTCCTCCTGCCGCCTCTCCAAATGCACGGCGTGCTCGCTGCTGCGAATGAGCGCCTCGTCCAATTGACATTCTTCCGCCCGTTCCCACTCGTGCTGCCGCTTCTTCTCCTCGACTTGCTTATCCAAGAACGCCTTGTCTATCTGCAAATGTCAGGGGAAAACAATCGCACGTATCTTATCGCATTGGAGCGGAGCGCAACTTCCCAGACGTTAAGATCAATCAAGTGTCGCGCGTTGCGCTCCATCAAATAACACTTGTGCATGGAATTTGCGAGTTAAGAATAGCAAAATGTATGTGTATAGACGAGGTCAATTTAATCGGGAGTGAATTGTAACATTTAATGGTATTAGATTTGTAAATTTTAATGGTATGGTAAATATCAGTATATTTTTAATTAATAAGAAGGAGATGCAACTTAAGTAATAAAGTGACTGAATTAAAAATTAAAGTAAATTTGAAATTAAGTCGAAATAAAATATGAAAGGTAGAGTTAAGGAAAAATCGAGACTGAACTCCTACCCCAATTTTTCTAACGCGAGGGTTAAAAATGCGCAGTTTCCTAGTTTCCTCGTTTTGTCGTTTGCGTTCTATGGACGCGGCGATCTTGAGATCCTCCGGAGTAGTGCGTTGTTGAAACTTAAGCATTTCGGATATTTTTCGCGGAAAAATCTGGAAAGCGTGATTTCCTCTTTACAGCAGCGAGGTTACACGTAAGACTGAAGGCGTGAATATATCCGGACTTTTTGGCTTGGAATCGAAACTGAAGTTTCGCTGTCAGTTTCGTTACCATGGTGAGTTTGCCCGTTGAGAAGGGTCGTATAACTCGTATAACTCGTACATAGCCGATGGATTCCAATTCCACAGTATTCATTTAGGAGAGAGGTAAAGCGCCATGTACTGTACGGCATATTTTATCCAATTGAGATTCAAATTCTAATATTATGTATTGAATTGATCGGAAAGTTCGTTCCGTAATTTTTTTTTTATATTCATACTAATGTGTAACTAATAATCATACTCATCTCATATAAAAGAACGGAACAAATTTTTCGTTTAACTCAACATTTACACTCTTATATGCTCATTAATTTAATTCTCATTTTTGTTTTCCTATCAAATGATAATATCTCAGTTAATATCGCAAAATATCCGATATTAATCAAGCGGAATTAATCGTTACTTCAGGAGAGGAAACTGGACGGGAGTTTACGAAGTGAAGCGCAAAATATAATATGCGATAATATAATAACACGCCAATTTTATCGTAATTTTACGTAGCCCACATGTGTTACAGGCGAATGCATTAATATCGCATATATAATAATAATGCTTTAAAGAAGTTATTAAAAAATAATAAACGCGCGTAACATACCTCTGTATGAATATAATAATTAAAAATTATTTTTAAAACTTGCATTCTTGGAGTATAATAAATAATTAAAAAATTAAAAATGATTTTTTAACTTTAACTCCAAGGACGGTCCAAATTTCGACACAATGTAAGTTTATTGCCTTTAAAAAAATTCGGCGTTTCTGCAAGCAAGTGTCGTTTCTGGATCTAATAATAATTCCTCCGCTTGACGCGAATGCTTCTCTTCGACGACTTTTTCAAGTCCCTCTATATTCAGTCGTAATTACTGTACGATCAATACACGGATGATTTGAATGTTGACGTTGCGCGAGCTCGATGTTTGACTTCGTCCACTTGACTATCTATCTGACGGAATAATAAAAAAAAAAAGTAATAATAAAGAGAGCTGATAATTATTCAGCTGTTAGGAAGACATCTCGTACGTGTCACGTGAGGAGCAGCTGTCGATCGGTATAAACATGTGTACATATTATTATCTGTATATTATTTGTCTGCATATTCTTATCTGTTGATTTCGTGAAATCCATCTTACTCTCTTCCGTTACGCGCGCGTACGCTGATGCGCCGATCCAATTTGTCATCATATTATTGCGCGCGGCGACACGCACGATAAGCAGGGAGGAGGGGACGTGTCGATTAAACATTTTAATTGGGTTAGGCCTCGTATCTCTGCCTTCGATAAAACGCCTCGCGCGGCTCCCTCTCTCATGGAGTCCGGAGGCCATAAGCCGCGAGGTCGCGTAACCCCTGTGACAGTTATTTGCTTAGAAAGCATGACACACACTAGAACGGTAGCGTATTTTTTTTAATTAGCCCCGATTAAGCACCGATCGAACTACGATGGAGGATTTCGTAATGGAAATGTTTTGACTCTGAAGAGTTTGAAGCTCTTCGTCAGGGACACGCGCATTATAGTGAAATAATTCGATTAATTGGGGCACGAGAGAAGATTTGTGCAATATGTTGACAATTCTATTATTATTACATTATTAATACAATTTATTTTTCAGTTATTCTTAATCTATACTTTTTTAAAATTAATTAAAATTGTTTTTATATAAGTTTCTCTAGAAAAAATATATGGCGTATGATCTCCAGAATCTCTAGATCGTCTTCAAAGTTCACTTTAGATCTATATATTTCTGTCAAAATTCAGTGTAATATAATAGACACATTAAATCATAAAGTAAATTACAACATTTGCTGTGGAAAGTTTAACATATTTATCAGAGTAGATGGCTAAGTCGACCACTTGTTTGTTCGTGGCATAAATGAAAGAAGTCAAGAAAGAAAGTAAGAGTACTGGAGGAAACATGATTATAATAATAAAACAATCAGGGGCCGAAGAAAATAACGGGCGCGACTTCTCATCAGACTTGCAGTACATATTCGCAAGTTGAAGAAACTTAAAAAGAATGACAGTGGTGAATGTTATTGTATTAGTGAATATTTCATCTTCCTTTATTCGCCCAGATATAGGTACTTATATACAATAAACACATAAGAAATTTATTTTATTTATCATTTGTAGCATGAGAATTACAAAAATTGGAGTCTATATAGCTACTTACTCTAGCTGGTATTTAGATTGCGTGTTTTATAAACATAAAAATTTGAATTAAATAATTCCTATTATTTTTAGTCGATATCAAGGTCTGACAATTCAAATTCATACTATCATCTCTCTCTGTTTATTCTGTAAATACGTCATGATCATGGAAATTGTCGTGCTCGAATAAAAATTCGCGTGTCCAAGCTTGAATATACTATTCCAACCCAAGCATTCTCGTTTGAATTTTGAGTCAGTCATTTTTCTAATTTTAAAAATACTTGGATAAGAGTCTTCGTTTCAGTTCTATTTGTGATTTTGTGCGCCGCGTAAAATATGAAAGACTGAAGAATCCGAATACGCATACATACGAGAAATAAATTTAAATGACATAGATAAAACGCGTCGGATCTTTTTTATTTTGAATTGCATTAAATGGGTTTATAAAGAAAACGAATTCTGTTGGATCGTTCCAAAAGTCATCGAAAGACAAGAGATGCCTCGATCACCTTGAGACGCCGACTGTAAGCCGGAAGTGGCGTTCGCGGAAAGCGGAACGAGCGCGGAACGGGCGAATCTCGGATCAATCGCGGAATAACATCAGCCTCGCTTAATTAATTCCGAGGCGAAGGCGGTCCGCTCTGAAGATCGATCACCCACGTTTCGACGCCGCGTGAAAACACCGTTGCAGCTTTAATCACGCGAAAACCACGCCGCGATACGATCGATAGGGGGAGGGGGAGAGGGGAACGTATAGTTGATCCTCGGCCCGCGCGAACTGGTCTACGCGATGAGTACCCTCTCCTCCCTATGGACTCTCGGGGGGGAAACCGCCATGTTCGCAGGGCGTCGAGGTCGGGACCGCGCGCTCCGGGAGCGACGACGACGCGCCCCGCGCGTTCGTCGGTGAAAAATCCACCGTTGACAAACAGACTCGTCGAGCGCGCGATAAAAGAAGAGCGAGAAAGAGAGGATCCTCTCCACGTCTCTCCTCGCGTTCGTGGCGGCAATTTGCGCCGCGAGTATCATCCAGCCCGTCGCGGTATCGCGCGACGCGCGCTCCGTCGTCGTCCCCGTGGAGAGGAAGAGAGAGAGAGACAGAGCGAGGGGTGGGAGAGAGAAAGAGAGAGAAGATGCGCCCGCAGCATGGCGAGACTCTCGGGCGCCTGCGTGGCCGGGTGACGTCATTAGCGAACCGGGCAGCTCGCCGTCCGCCAGACATTCAGTCTCGCCTCGGCGTTCGAGGAGATTGTACACGTTAAGTTTCTCCCCGCGATCGGGCCCCCATTCTCTCTCGCTCGTCAGTCAGCCAGCCAGCCAGTCAGGCCTCGTCGCGGAAGCTTTGACGTACGCGCGATTGACGGTATCGGAATCGATTCGCGATCGCCCAGGCGCTCATCGCCGGACGGATTAAAGAGACGTCCCGACGGAGGGAAGGACTGCGCGCGCGCCCGCGCGCGTGTGTGCCTTCGGCTGACTAAATCGCCGGTCGTTCACCCGGTGTGCGCGACTACGAATATTCTTACGCAACGACTCGATCGGGGAGAGATCCGAGGCGCGAAGGAGCGAGCGGCGTGTGTGTACACGCGCGCTTACTCGCGGAGGAAAGTTTCTCCCGGGCTCCAAGGGGAGAGGATTCATTTTCCCTCGCTGGGAAAGTCGGAGCGCGGCTCGCCAAGCCGGAGCGGAGCGACCAGAAAGGAGTGCAAAAAAAAAACAAAACAAAGCAAAACAAAAAACGTCAACACGTGCGAACATCCCGCGAAGGGATCCGTAAATCCGCGACCGCGGTGCGTCTCGCGGAGGATGCGCGCCGCCGTCCTCAAGTAGGACCCTCGCGCGTGTCAAGTCGGACCCTCCTCCCCGCGGGGGTCCTCCACCCGGAGCGTGTGGTCACGGATGTGACGCCCGCCGTTGTCGTCGTCGATCGACCACTTTGAGCTCTGCTATGCGCCCCGGGCTACGATTACTTATGAGAGGATGAGCTGCTCGGTGAAGATCTCTTGCGGCAAGAGCTGGGGCGGCTCGCAGCGCCGAATCGGCTCCCTCGCGGAGGAGGCGAGCGCGTGCCCTGGGCCCGCGGCGGCGGTCAACTGCGCCGGCCTACAGGCGGTCCAGCCGAGCGCGACGTCGACGTCGAGCTCGACGAGCACGACCAACACCACCGCCACCGTCACCGTAGCCTTCAACAACCCCGTCGTCATCACCACCAGTACCAGCACCACCGCCGCCGCCACCGCCGCCGTCACCACCACCACCAGCGTCAACGTCATCGCGGCCGGTAATCAGAGGGTGGTCCCACCACGCCCCGTCAAGTCGATCGCCGCGAAGAAAGGGGAAGACACCACGAAGCTACTGAAGTACATCGACGATAACGTCATTGGCAAGAACGGCACGTTCTTCGGACCATTCGGTCGCAGGAAAGGTCAGTGATCAATATAGTAGACGTATCGCTTTGCCACCCCTCCTCTCCTCTCCCCGCGTCTCTCTGCCTATCCCCCAACCCCTCTGCGTGCATGGCGGATGCACCAAGAAACGTGCGAACCGTGTCAGCTCGTTGTTAGGATATAAGTTAAATAACACGGTGCGTCACTTTCCGCGGCTAATCGCCGTCTCGTTGTTCGACTTGTTCAACAATAAGTCAGCGTTGGTCTCCATCGCCGGGACGATTGGTCACCCCCGATGAAATTGAATATACGCTCGCTCTCTCAAGGTCGGTGATAATTTCCTGGGAGGGTCAAGGAGGGGGGTGGCGATTTCTTTCGGCGTCCCGGAATGCGATTATCGCGTACAGAGTTATCGAGAAATTACGTCGGCTTAATCTGACTAAATTTAGATTATTTGTTACATATTACGCACTCGTCTGTCGCAAAATTATACATATATGCTTATCTACACAGTGCGATAAAATTAGATATATTACGTATCTGTAATCATTTACTATTTTGACTAGCTATTTCTTTTTTTTTGCAATACGTTAATAAGATCATTAATTCTTTTATTGGAATAGTCTTTTCGACGTTTTTAGTTGTTTTTTTTTTTCTAAATTGTGATTTGCCCGACACAATTATTATGCTGGAAAAAAAAAACGGAGCAAAGAATTGCTCCGAATCACAAGGAAAATTTACGAATCGTCGCATTTAGAAAAAAAAATATAATACCGTAATTATCATAAGATGCTTGTTTGTTTACAAAATCAAAGTGCGATTACTCGTTGTCGCTCCAAATATCCAAGAAATACCCATGAGTCATCGGGTATCGTATAATATCGATATCGACGATTCGGAACCGATATAACTTTTTGATAATCTCGCGCGCACGCGAGTCTGCTAACGGGTAAAGTGCGAAGTCGATGACGATGACGACGAATTCGCTTCTCTCGAATTATGTCGGTGGCGTAAGCCTTCGCGCTCGATTGGGACACCCTCCAAGTGCCGTTGGCGTGGGTACCTTCCGTAATTCGATACCACCCCCCACGAGCGGTAGCGCCCGAAACCCTTGCCGTGTGTGCCCAAGTATCCTCAATTAACGGCATAAAGCCGTGTATTTTTAGACCGACCGATCGATCGCTCGCGGAAGATTTTTCCCACCGCGGCAGCGCACGATCGGATTCGATATCGATCGCGCACGCGGCTTCTTCTCCCTCCGTTCCCTCCCGTGTCGAAAATTTCCTCCCCTTCGGCGTCGTTGTTCCATCACGGTCACTTGTTACCTCGCTTACTCCCTTTTCCGCGAAAGCGATGTAAACCGAGCGCCATATATATATGTATATACACGGCCACATCTCTAATTAACTTTAAAGTAACTGCTGATTGGAGCGTGCGTTGGGGATGTTCCGCGTGATTGGAACACACGGCTCCCGCGCGGACCTACCCTAATACTCCTTTCCTTTTCATGATAAAAATATATAACAGGTTCGTTGAAAATAAGGCTTGCCGCGGGATAACATCGTAAGAAGTTAAATTTATTGGCTACAGAAAAAGACGAGGGCGAAGGAACATATATAGTAACAAACATTTCCGACGTTCCTCTCCGGCTCAGATTTGACTTTAAACTTTTTTTTTTAATTTAAAATAAAAAATCTTCCTAGAATCTGGTTGGATTCCTCGGATTTTTGCATCAGATAAGAATTACTAGATTCTACGTTTTTCTAGGAAAAAATGTTCCTTCCCGGCACTTCTATTTTCGTGATTGAAAGCATTTTAGGAAAAAAATAATATCGAGAAAGAACTTACGATCTCGATACTTTCAGAGACGTGCCGACGCGAGTGATGAAGCGCTTCTCGTGACAAGCTGATATCGCGCTTGTTGCACAACGCACAAATACGCCTCTCTCACTCTTGCATCCAAACAACGTGACGATTCGTTCGACGAGCGTGAAACCACCGGTGAACAAACCGGCGCGCGTAATTTTTCTCTGTAATAACTCACTCGAGTTGCAAAATGCTTTCCCTTATCGAGCGCATTTATCGTGTCGTTGGCAAACACACGTGCAAATACACTTTGCCGCTAAAGTTACTCGTGCGGCTTTCGCACTTTCGTGCGGCTGACCATCGGGAGTGTCATTGTCCGCGCGAGAATCGCCTCCAAAGGCCACGTGCTACCTTGGAAGCTCCACTTCGTCGCCGCGATCAATAAAAGACTCGCGTGAAAAGCGCCGCGAAGGACCTTGAACGCGAACGAGTAAAAGAGAGAAATAGAGAGAGAGAGAGAAAGAGAGAAGGACGAGGGCCTTCCAGGCCTTTCTGTCGTATCGTAACGGAGGAATCGCCAGTGGTTTAACATCGACGATTGACGAGGGGACTGTTTGGAAGTGCGAATCGCGGCTTATTTGCGCGAGAAGTCGGCTTCCTCGCGGGCGCGCGCTCATAAATATCGGGCTGACGTCATGCGTCGGCTCGGCTCGGCTCGGCGCGCGCGATGGCGACCTTAACTCTCTTTCGCGCGCGCGCTAGATAGCTCTCTAACGGAATCGCGTGGCGCGGCCGGGTGTCGCGGAATTGAAATATCTTGACCGTTTCGCGACGACGGGATCGACTTTATTTGCTTAACGAAGTGAAAGTACGGGGACGGGTCTTAAAATGCAGAGATCGGCTCGCATGCGGAGCGCGGGGATCGGTAGTTTCTGCCGCAAATTTATGAGCTTCAACTTCTATTTATGGATTCGCGGACGGTCACTCTATCATTTTACTTAATAATCATTCGCCTATCTCTGATGGGTCACGTGATTCACGTTGCAATTCTTGTGTGCGAAAGATGCGGCTGTGTATATAGAATCTCGAATCCCGTGGTACAATAGCGATTGGCTCGTGTACACACGGCGCGCGCGCGTGTTGCACACGAAACTATCTCGTGATCTTCTGATGCGCAAGTTCGTAACCTCCGCCCGTAGGCACGTGTCAATAAATTGCTAAAACTCGCGCGCGCGTGCTCGTTTACGCGGCTCCATTTAGCGAATAGACGGCACACCGCCTCGACGCACAATCATGCACGCTAATTCGATTTGCTCTTCGATGACACGCGGCTTTTTGTTTCGAGCGTCAAAGCCGCTTTAATAGCTTTGCTCGCGTAATGAGCGAATGCAGCGACGTTTGACGGCAAACACACCGTGCGTGAGGAGCGTATACCTATTGCCATGTCGTACAACAACGTGATCTAAACTCAGGAAGCATAGAGAGAGAGCCTCACTAGCCTAACAGAAATTTAATATATAAGAAATAAAATTATTTATTTCGAGTATTAGGAGAACACAAAATAAATAAAGCAATTAATCACTACCTACTAGTATTAAATTTAAATTAAAACACGAGAGAATATTTCCAAAAGCATCGAGTTTGGAGAGAAGATGGTTCGGTTTTCACCTCTTCTTTCAAACATTCTTTTTCAAAGTCAATACTCTTTCGAGATTTATCGATCTGTAACACTTTTAGCGACGCACTATGCGTGGAATTTTTTTACGCGAAACTTGACGCATTTGGAAAAAAATAAAATAAAATACGTGATCACACAACATTTCGTTATTAAGAGATTTGGGGACTGTTATCCGATAGGGCGAGAGATAACAAGTGTAGAAATGCGATTATATCGCCGAGACACGCGATAACACGGTAGCTACGTCTCATCGGTTTCGCGCGGATGAAATATCGCTGATAAATACTGCTCTCCAAAATGTGACGAACATTAGGGAGGTGGCCTTCACCGAAAAAACAGGTTCGCCGCGCCGCGCGTGATTCACGAACGACGACGGGACGCTCGGTGGGAAGTGACGGAAATCTACATGAAATTTGCAAGTTCGGCGCAAATCTCCTTTTAAAATAGAAGCCCAGAATTCGATCCGCTTCGAATGCAGGTCTCGAGGTCACTATTACAACAAGGTTACAATTAAGTTATATTTCTGTTTTAATAACCGTCGGAACGGAAGGTGGGAGAGAACAAGGGGCGAATCTTTCTCTTTTTCATTTATTTCTGATGTAATTCATATTTATAGTTTTGTTGTATTAATAAATATTAATAAGAGATAAAAAATCGCAAAAATGTGCGTTGCACATGTCAGTCTTTAGAACGTCTCGATTGATTTTATTAATTGCAAAATTTCGGTGCATAACGTAGTGTAGCTCGCGATGCGCTCAGGCGTTTCTTCAGCCGACAGTAAACGAGTTTCTCGAGTGGGTCAGATGTTCGTGATGGACGATCCGTTGTCTTCCGATTAGGTTGATCTTGGTCGGACATGTCTCGAGGTCGATAGGATGATGCGATCCTGTTAGGCCGCTATCTCACGCGGCTACGTTCCGCACGGTCACGTGACGATGAGTTCCGAAGAAATATAGGATGACTACGTCATCAACGAAGAATGACGCCGTCCACCATCTCATCTCTCCCCCGGCACTCTCCGTCTGGCCAAACAGGCCGAGTCAATATTTCGTCGAAATCAAGAAATTGGAGTACCTAACTGGTCAAGAAAATCCATTCGGTCAGTTAAATATTTGAGTGCTTGACTCTTCACGATCTGCCCCGCATCTCGACATCCCGTCTCGAAATAGCGATTCGCAACAATTCTGTAAACGTTCGAAGGAACGAGCAGTTATATCTTCAGAATCTTCCCGCAGTGGCAAAAAAATATGTCGTTCGAGCATTCTTATCGAGAGTAAGAGCGGAAGAGTTATTAAGTGTGTCCCCCCTTCCCCCCCAGTCGCATCTCTCTATTATCTGTAATTTATTTCCTCGCGTGACGGACGGCGAGAGAGCACCGCGATAGTTCGACTCCACTGCGCTTCAATAACGAGCGGATAACATTGGCATCATGAAGCGCCCATAAACCCGCGCGATCGAAGCTCGTCAATAATTCACACACGCACGCACGCACGCACGCACGCACGTACGCACGCACGCGCCGTTTCTCATCGATTCGACAATAATTTCATCGCG